ATTATTTGAGTATTAATGACTACACAGTGCTTTTAAAAATGCATTTGCCACACCACAGGACTATTTAAATGAGCAGCAAAAAGGTGATTTAAAACGTACGTGTGACCAATCATAGCACCTGCTTTCCTTTATACAGATAAATAGTAAGTAAACATAAAAAAGATAATGTCTGTTATTGGTCAACAACCCAGGTACAGATTACATCCTATAGTTTATAGGTGGAACAACTCATTAAATTTAAACAGGTGGAAAGGGGCTAAAACCAGGGGGTAATAAAGGGCATAAACCATGACAAGGAAATCAAATAACCCCTTAATTTTTAAACTCGCATGATGAATTGTTTGGCGAGACAACGACATGTTCTATAGTAATTCACAAGTGTTTCTTATAACGCCATTTAACGATTACACATATAATTAAAACGAGAGTAAAACACTTGTATACCTTCTTGTGTTTGTGGAGTTACTGGCTGAGGTACACAGAGAAACACGAGAGCGCTGAGCGCGAGCACCTGCTGTCTCATCTCGTCTCGTCCCGTGAGTGAAGGATCGTGTCTGGCTCAGACATACCGCGGAAACCCAGACATCAAGCGCTCCCCTCTCAAGGAAGATGGACAGCCTGGGGATGATATTCCGGTGGGGAAAAAAATATTTGTTTTTTTTGCTAAAATAAAATATCTATGAAATTCTTCTATAACTTTTCTTCGGCTGCTCTCCCTGTTGAATAATCCCTGTTCCCTGTCAATTAATCCGCGGTGCGTGTATGATCAAAAAATTCCGCTTTGCGGTAGCACCTTTTCCGCTTGGATTTTCCCACTTAGTAAACGTACAATAAACTATTTACTAAGCCAAAACGAGATTAGGAGTGAGAAGGAAAACTGAAGGTATGACGCAGGCTCACCACTCCCTGAGTGTACACTTATGATGTTCACATTTGGATTGGCCCGATAGAGCGCTGCTATTTACCAATCACTGCGCTTCTCCACCCTTCAGAAACTAGAGCAGCAGCCTGTGACTCACAAACTGATGTGCGATGCTTCATGGAGTGATGAGCTGCAATTACAAGTGTACCTTTGACTACTTGCAATCTCGAGGAAAAAAAAACTTTAGACTATGTTGAAATCATAGGCTACATTTTGCAGGCTGTTAAAATGGGCTGTTTATGAATTAAAATTAAATACTGACCGGTTTTGATAACGACTAGCCTAATAAATATTACGGGGAGGCTGTAAATATTTATTTGATCGAATGATAAAAAATTGCATCAAGTTTTTTTTCATAGACTACTAGGCTATTTACTGAAAAGGGTGCTCAAAGTAAATGACGTTCAATCTCGCCTTATTAATTAAATTATTAATAATATTAGCAATATTTGGCTAAATCTTCATTTTTTCCTCACCTGTTGTAGGTTTGATGACGAACTGATTGTCCTTGACTGGTTATATTTCATTTAGCCTCCCCCCTTTTTAAAATTATTTTTATATATTTACATGTCCCACTCTGATTGGTCAGTTTAGAAGTAATTGTACAAATTTGCAAGTAATTGCGGAGACTTTATGCCAGTCTTTTTTTTCTTCTCGTTATTCATGTCGTGATGAAAACTTGCCGTGGCTACCGTGTGTGATAGAAAATATGATAACGTAGTAGGCTATATATTTGCATTAGTTTATATTTTATATGAAGACTATAATATTATAATAATTTACTCTGATTTTAACGGTTTAAAAAAATAATTGTTAAAAAGGGAAATGTTAAATTCACCTTATTAGAATTCTACAAATTTAGCTTTTTCTTCAAATTTGTACAATTTTGCTAAATGTACCTTTCAACATGTGAAAAAAGTAAATAAGACACTAATCTAGGAATCACTCATTTGCATGCCCACTAAATAGCTTCCTTCAGGGCATTTAGTTATGCTAATTATAGAGGGCTGAGTGGTAATAACTCTACACAGGTATCACACAGAAACTCCAGTCAGGCTCTTGTCAGAGTCCTGCAGTTTCATGAGCGGGTCGTCATCCTCAGAGGGTCTTGCATGGGTTTCTTGTTCACAGTGAAGAGCATTATTGTACTCGTGCCATGTCGACTGCTTAATCCCCCTATTGACGCATATAGACCGAGCCATCACAATAGGCACATTGTAAAGGGGTTTGGTGACTTCTGAACCCTCAGCAGAACATGCCTGATCTCAACAGACTGTCCACTGTACAGTGGTAAACACCCACATCTGAGAGAAGAGCAAATGCTTAAGATCACGCTTCATTATATATGAATGTACAGTTATGGTGGCAGCAGCTGGCTGATTCTAGTTTTCTTAGTTAACAGGAAAATCTGGTTTTATGGTGCTTATTTTCAGCTTTCTAGAATTCTGGCTAACATGTTTCTTATTTAAAAATCAGCGGGACATGTACGTTTTGTCTTTGCATTGGTGGCCTAAATTCTCTTTGTCGAACTGTTCTTGTCGTGTTGGGATTCTGTACAGTAAAGAACGCTTACCCTGTTCTCTACTGTATAATGTCAGGACACTTTTGAGACCTCTACTGGTATCACGGAATATTACAGGACTGTAATCACTTTTAAAATGGTGCTACAAATTGACAAATGTTGCGAGAAAATAAACTACCGTTCAAAAACTTAAGGTCGGTAGGATTTAAGGAAATTAATACATTTAGCAAAGACGTATTAAATTAAATAAAAAGTGACAGTAAATATATTTCTCCAAGATAAAATAAATAAATGAATGCGATTTTTAATTTTCAATTCATCAGAGTCCTGAAAAAATGATGATTAAATGAATAATTAATATCAAGCAGCACAACTGTTTGCAACATTGATATTGATAAATGTATCTTTAGCAGCAAATTAGCATATTAGACTGATTTCTGAAGGATCTTGTAACACTGAAGACTAGAGTAATGACTGCTGAAAATTCAGCTTTACCATCACAGGATTAAATTATATTTTGAAATAAAATAGAAAACAGTTATTTTAAGAATATTTTACAATATGACTGTTTTTACTGTTAAAACTGACAAAATATGTGCTTTTGAATGTGACAAAAAATAACCCATAACACCTTGATGTTTAACATTTGATGTTTATTTTTGATTAGTTACAAAACATAAATAGAATCAACAGTTGAATTAGTTACAATTTACAGTAGCTAAATCACCAGCAATAAGTTTATAGTCCTCTACATATTATTTTAACTGAAATAACCTTTAATTATTGGTGGTCAGTCAAGTAATTCTGGGGTCCCCCTGGTTTTACTGTACAACTTCACCCACACTATACCTCCACTGTAGAAATGATTTGGCTTCTAATATTCCCAATCACTTGCATTGAATTAAAACCCCTCTAAAAATAAAAAATGTATATCATGTTGTAATCTTTGAACAAACATTTGGGGTAAAGTTGGAAGCCGGGGAACATCGAGAAACTGTTTTAGGACCTGTGTATCACAGCTTTCTCAACACTGATCAGTACACAATTTTACATTTTTTTTTAAAACCCCTTTCAAAATACAAAAATAATGCTTTCTTTTTAGATTACATGTTGGTAACACTTCAGCAGAGGGTTATCTTTACATTTCCCATTTGTACAGATCAAATGGATAATGTTTTGAGTTTTCTTAGACACAACAGCCTTTATACTCACCACTGCTGTACTGTTGGTTTACTGCAAAGAGGTGGGTCTTGTCTTTAGAAAAATGACATAAAACACTGGAAACTGAATGATCACAACCCGCTGTAGGCAGCGGTCATGTTGACCTCTTTTTGTAACATCCACAAGTTCAAGCATTAGCACAATTCAAAAAGCTTCACAACACAAACCGGACCCTCATTCCCTGTGCGCTTTACACAATACATTCCACCCTATTTATCTCTCACCTACTTGTTGAAAAAAGCAGGTTGCCTCATTCGTACCAACCTTCCGTTACTTTTCCCAACAAAACATTAAAGAACACAGTCAGTTTTCTGTATATGGGCATTGCAGACTTATGGAGAATGCGGTCTGACATCCACTTTATAAATCTTTAGTAGTCTGTACAACAGAGTTGCGTAGCTGCCGATTTAACCTCTTAAGTGCCACTGGCCCACCGCTCTTTTTTTCGTTGTCTTTTTTCTCCATCACATATCTTAGTAATAATCATAAATTACATATCACTTGAAAGCTTAAAACCTCCAAATTAATCCTGTGAAACCATTTTGAAATCGGACATTGCGTTACCATGGAAATGGTACTTTAAAATCTTTTGGCAGTCTCCTCCCCCTTAGTGGGTGGAGTCAGGTGTCATATTACAAAATGTATTACACCGTGTCTACACCGGACGCGGAGCAACAAAATACAATAGAACCTATTATGCTGTCTTACACTGGATGCGGCGTGACAAATTCCCGACAGTAAACTGCTGCTGCATTCTATTTATGACGTACTGACACAAATTTCAAATGATTTTCAACGGTCGCTTTTGTCACGTCCAGTGTAGACAGACTTTAGCTGTTGCGGCACGACACGACAACTGTCGCGTGCGGTGTAGACATGATGTTATGGTCTTTTAGAATCAAAACTTTTTATAAGCTTGACAAAATACATATCGTCGGAAAGGTCTGAGTCTCAAGATTCCATATTTGGTGGTTACTTCGTGATAGAAGTAATATTGACAGAGATATTTAGACATTTGTGACAGAAAAATGCATTAAAATTCAATGGAGTTTTGATGGCACCCAGTGGCTGTTTGTGGTATAACGCCCTAAATAAAATCTCTCAGGAACCTCAATTGTTTTTATATCAACTTCAAATTTGGAACATAACTTTAGACATAAGGCTTTAATTTTATAGCAATTTTGGATTCAAAAATATTTTGAAAAATATTTATTTTATATAAAATAAAATAAAAATGGTACCGTGCATTTTCTTTACAGTAAATTTAAACTTCTTAAACTTTTTGATACTTTAATATTTTGAAATGATTCCACTTCTGCAATAATCTGCAGATTGTCTTCTTAAAAAAAGAGTCCAACCTAAGGTCTGCATTCCAAAGTGTTCATGAATTATAACAATTTAAGTTTGAATAGTGCACTTTCACATCTATATTCAAAAATGGGGGGGTGGCACTTAAAGGGTTAAAGGCTGGCCTCTGAAATCTTGGTCTAGCTGAATCACATAAAAGCTTTATGATCAGGAAAAATACACTGTAGAAAGGCAACCTATTTCTGAATGTTCTCTCAATCATTAATTTGCTTGGCAGTTATGTATATGTATATATATATAATTTTCCACCAGAGTAGTATCTGATGTCAGAACCGATGAGGAATACATCTTTTTGCCAGCGTTTTGCTGATGCGTTGCATTCACTAAAAGCAAACTCAGTTTACAGATCACAGTTCGGTGTGCACGGAAGCACGTTCATACGGGACTGTGCAAAAATACACAAGAACAAGCTGCATTCACTTCACTTGAGCTTTCCAAACAGCCATCTAGTCTTGCACTCTTCACAATGGGAATTATGTTAATAGTGTAAACCTTAAAAGTGTGAACGTCTGCTAAAACAGAGAGGAAAATACTGCAATCATATTAGCTAGTTTCATTTGAAACCAAATTAATAAATTTTTTTCTCAGAATCAATTGCAGGATCTTGAAAGGAATTAGTCAATGGCTATTTGTTATTCTAGAAAAAATCTTGGCTAAATCTAAAACGCTACGGCTATTTATCATCGTAAATTATAATACATGAGGAGCATGCCTTATCCGTGCACAACGATTGTTTTTGTAGCTACAATGATGGTTGCAAGGTTACCATGCTCTGCGTTGGAACATGCGATCGATCACGCCGCCGGCTGAATCCGTTGTGCTCTGTAAAGATAGCGCGTCGCTGCTGACGTCTGGTTGTTGTTGTCGTTTCTGTGCGTATATATAAAAAATATTTATTTTAAGCTATACAGATCCATGTCACAACAACACAGAAAAGATGAATTTAAATATCAGTTACTAATTGCACTTTTTAAAATTCAGAGTCCTTTTGTTTGAAGCACTGATAAATAAAAACGAAGAGGATCACCTCGTGTCAAAAATGTCTCTATATAGGGCGAGTTTAGGTCCAACTAAGTCAGATAGAAAACTTGACGGTGCGGAAACACACAGAGGATATGTATTGAAAAATGCAACACAAACGCACGCTCACACAAATACACACTATAGTATTTATACACCCCCATATCCACACACACCAACACGCAACCGCTTGATACTAGTGTCCTTCCTGTACAAGATGTTCAGCGTTATCCGTCTTCTCACTGCTGTCCTAAAGGAAGGGTGGATGTAGAGTGTTTGGGGTGAAGTTTGGCACTGGGAGGCAGAGCGGAGGTGGAGCAGGAGGAAGAGGAGCACGAGCAGAAGACAGCGTCTTGACTGGCGGTGGTGGCGGGGGCAGAGGCAGCTGTGATGCTGGTGGCGGGGGGCAGCGGAGGCCCCGCTGTGGTCATGAGGGAAGGTGCACTGGGCACCGGGGGCTGGGATCCTGACAGGATTTGGACCTGCTGCGGGTGCAGGGGAGATGGGCTGTACTGCAGGGCAGGTTGCAGATGCATGTTCTGCTGTGATAGAGGAGCGATGGGAAATTGCGTCGGAGGCGGCTGAGTTTGTCCACTGATGGTACTATATGGGGTAGGAGCCATTGTAGACATGCTGACTGATACTGGAGCAGTCAAAGGGGCTCCGGAAAACCAACCCGATGAAGCTGTTGCCTGCAAGATAGAAACATTATTTACTTATTATTGGATTGTTATTATTACAAATAAAGATTAATACAGATGAATCCAAAAGACTGAGATTATTTAAAATTTAAAAAACAAGAAAAAACAAGAATTTAAAATTCCATTTAAATGTGGAAATAAAAGTTTTAGGGATTAAAAAAAATATAACATTTAGACAAAATTAATTCAACACACTGATCATGTGACTCTTTGTACAGACCAGGGTTATTGTAGTTAACTAATACTAACACAAATAAACAAAAAAATACATAAATACAATAATGGTAATTAAATATATTAACTGAAATGACAAAAAAATCTTTAAACTTGTTTGACTTTAAACTTTAATTAAACTTAATTGATTAGTGAGGTCAAATAGCAATTTTTAGTGGTGGAACATTTAAAGTCAACACGAAATGGAAATCGTGACTGTCCTACTTTCCCCTATTGTGACATATCTAAATGTCACTGTATCAACAGCATATCAAGAGCATATCCACAGAGTTCAACAGCATATCAAATGGAGGGCAGGACTTGATTCTGTCCATCAGGAATTGATTGGATCATAGAACATCGCTTGTTATGATCATTTCATGAGAGTGACAGGGTTGCTGGAGAGAATTGAAGCTCGTCAGGCCAATGGACAACCTTATTGCCCAGCCCTTGCGTCCATATGTGTTTCATTATGTTTTGGTAATGTTTGATTGAAAATTACAAGTAGACTGGCAATGGTACATTTTCTCAAATCACTGTGAGCGTTATAGTGTGCTTTTGCATATTAAACAGTCAGCACAGCATTCATCTCATTTACAGCACCAGCTTTACAGCCATCACCTTTAAGATGATCACTGTCGGACTTTAAATTGCCTGTAGTGAGAAATGTTCCCGTTATTATGCAGAATCCACAGGTTTAATTGTCATGTTGCTGTGAAATTACAGATTAGCATTTTTCGGTGGTCTGTTGTTGATTCTTCATGGTGTGCTACTCAGTCCAGGGTGTCTTTAAAAAAAGGCTAAACAAGCATGATGTTATGCACACAATATTTTTTACAGTTATGTACTTTCATACTGTTATGAACTTTTAAATAGGGAGAGAGGATCACCCTGTGAGTCTAAGCACAGTTTACATCATTGCTGCATGATTTCTAATGGGGAAAAAAGCAAGCACTTTTCACTAGTGGTCTTAAGGTGCAGTTATGATTACCATTGTTCAGTAAATTTTCATGGGCAAAATCCAGTAATTTTAATAGAAATTCATGCAATCTGATTTCGCAACGGGTTCAATTTGGTAACACAAATTCTCTGATGCTTGGTTTGAAAGTGATTTCTGTGTGAGCCGTGCTTTATAAATCACTACACTATTAACAATAGACAAAGGACTTTTTTAGCCTGCAAAATTTAGCACAGCACCTTTAAACTTTTGAACACCATTGTATATAACAGAAAAATATTTGAACCCATACAGGCTAGTCTATATATGCATGTATGAGACATTTGTTTCATGTATACGTTACCTCAGTAGTCTGGCCCCATCCGCCAAACTCCTGCACTTGTTGGATCTGTTTGATTTGATTCAGTGAAGGCTTGGGCTGGACAGGGCAAACTGTTTCTTTTGACCACTCATCAACAAGCTTATGTAGCTCATCTGTGAATGTGCTCTTTCTATTGGCAGAACCCTGGGCTGGAGGACTCTGGTCTGAAAACAAAATGAGGGAACTGTTAAATAAAAATGCCATTCCTCAGATTAAGTCTCAGTAATTACACTATTGTTCAAAAATTTGGGAGCAATACGTTTTTTAAAAACGTTTTTGAAAGAAGTCTCGTATGCTTTCCAAGGCTGCATTTATTTGATCAAAATACACCAAGATTGTAATACTGTCAAATATTATTACAATTTAAAACAAATGTTTTAATATATTTTGAAATGGAATATATTCCTGTGATGGTAAAGCTGAATTTTCAGCAGCCATTACAGTCTTTAGTGCCACATGATCCTTCAGAAATCATTCTGATATGCTGATTTGGTGCTGAAGAAACTGTTGTGTTGCTTAATATATTTGTGGAAACCAGGATTCCTTAATAAATAGAAAGTTTAAAAGAAAAGCATTTATTTGAAATAAAATAACTGTCACTTTTTGTCAATTTAATGCATTCTTGCTGAATAAAAGTATTAAATTCTTTTTTTTTTTAAATAAATTAATACTTTTATTCAGCAAGGATGCATTTACTGATCTCAAACTTTTGAACAGCAGTGTATTATTATTTTGAGTATGTTCTATAGCTTTAGTACCTCTATTAGCGGTCAATGATGGGGTTTTCTCTGGCTTGCAGTATGAGTGAAGCCTGCTTTGCTCCCCACCAGAATAACTGCTAGACTGCTGAAGACTCCCTGAGTGTTTGCATTTAAAAAAAATCAACAGAAAAACAGTACAAGTGGATTATAGTTACAACCACAAAAAAAAAACAAACATATGCTTATTCTAACTCTCTCTCTAATATGGCAGTACTATTACCTTGGTGTGTGACTCCGTTGTTATCCATGTGAGAGTGGGGTCGGGGCCGAAGCCTGGGTTTGGCAGGTCGGGGTCTGCGTGGGGAGATGGCGATGGGTGCGGTGGGCAGAGGAGAGGTCCGGGGCAGCGTCATGGACAGAGGCTGTCTGTGGTCTTTAAGAGAGCGGAGCTGCCTGTACAAATCCTGCAGCTCTCTGTTCTGATGTGCCTGCAGGGACACCACCTCTTTGATGTGTCTACAAAGATAAAAGAGAGGAAGCATCAGTATGGGAAGAGAGGAAAGTTAAACAGCACTGCAGAATTCAACTTCTCTCACTTCTCTCTCAGCATGTGGAGTTCTCTCCTCAAATCTTCATCCTCCACCTCGTTCTCATCGTCACTGCTGCCCTGAGGCGAGTGTGCATGACTTCTGGGTGGGTGGCTGGGCGCTGTAGTTCTCTTGTCCTCTTTCTCGCCATCTTTTCCTTTAGATTTTCTCCTTTCACGCTCAAGGTCAGGTGACACGGGGGAGCTGTCTGTCAAATGCTCCTCTCTCTGTTCGGCCTGGGTGACTGAGAAACGCCCAACTTTTCTTTGTGTGATCCCTTCACTTGGTGAAGCTTGGTGAAGAAGTCCCAGTGAAGACTGGGACACTGGAATCACCTATGAGAAAAGAGAATGGGAACAGCTGGTACTTCACTTCAAGTTTAAATCACAATACAGTACATATAACAAAAGTGTAAACGCCACCAACTAAGCATCATACTTTAGGGCAAAAAAAGAATGTTTTTGTTCAATGCTCTCATGATTTTATCTAACTTTTAGTGCATTCACGTCATGTTGGAATGTTGTTGTTCATGATATAAGCACATAAACACCAGGACTTTTTTAAAACCCAAGTTTTTAATTTCCAATTTAGAAGAGTCATTTAAACAATCATGGCGGAAGCAAATAATTATTGATTTTATATACACTACTGTTACAAAAGATTTCAAATTCATATCCTTTTGAAATTACCTTCATCACAAAATCCTAAAAACTGTATTGGTTTCCAATATAAATATATAAATATAATAAAAATATTATGCAGCACAACTGTTTCCAACACTGATAATAAGAAATGTTTCTTGTACAGCAAATCAGCATATTAGAATGATTTCTAAAGGATCATGTGACACTGAAGACTGAAATAATGGTTGCTGAAAATTCAGCTTTGCCATCACAGGAATAAATTACATTTTAACCTATATAAAATATAATAAATACATAAAAATTGTAATACCATCTCACAATGTTACTGTTTTACTGTATTTTTAAACAAATAAATGCAGCCTTGGAGAGATTTTTCAAAAACACACACACAAAAAAAATGATACTGATCCCAAACCTTTGAATGGCAGTCTACATTTGTAATTATTAATGATGATGCTACAAATAAGTTTATGCATATTTTGTGCACGGTTGATGCAGCATACTGATGAAACTATCCAGAAAACACTACTCATTTAGCTGGTTTAGACAAGACAGATGTGACTTCACTATTTCCCTTCATTCTTTTTGGCTGCATAACAATATACATAAATTCTACACTTAATGCACATCTTTTGATTTTAATTGTCACGTTAAATCAAACACGTTTTTCAGTTGGTGAAAAAACAAAAATAACAAATGTTATCCATTTCTGAGATTTTGAAATTGAGATTTATACATCATCTGAAAGCTGAATAAATAAGCTTTCCATTGATGTATGGTTTATTAGGATCGGACAATATTTGGCTGAGATGCAAGTTGCAACTATTTGAAAATCTGGAATCTGAGGGTGCAAAAAAATCTAAATATTGAGAAAATCGCCCTTAAAGTTGTCCAAATGAAGTTCTTAGCAATGCATATTACTAATCAAAAAGGAAGTTTTGATATATTTATGGTAGAAAATTTACAAAATATCTTCATGGAACATAAAATCTTTACTTAATATTCTAATGATTTTTGGCATAAAAGAAAAATCGATAATTTTGACCCATATATGCATACTCATTCATGGAACATCCAGATAAATTGGTATAAGTAGTATGATACAGTATTCCTTTTAGTGTTCTCTGGTTGTATGCTGCACATTTTGGTGACTACGTAAATATCTAAGTATATATACTGTGCACAGAATGCAAATGTCCAATTTTTATGGAATAAAATAAAAATAAAATCAATAACTATTTTATTACCTTATAATAACACATTAATGTTGTGCTCACTCGTGATTAGACTGCCATTTTTACTACAAAATTAGAGAATTTAATTTTGAGATGCCACTGAAAAGTTTAGGGTCTGTAAGATTTACAAGGCAAGGCAGCATTTATTTGACCAAAAATACAGTAAAATCATGAAATATTATTACAATGTATCTATTTCAATGTATTTTGAAATATAATTTATTCCGGTGATGGTAAAGCTGAATTTTCAGCAGTCATTACTCCAGTCTTCAGTGTTACATGATCTTCATAAATCATTACGCATGTTAGTATGTACAGTACTAGTGCGCAACTATCTTCAGTGCTACTTATGATTGGTTTTGTGATTCAAGGTCACATATATAGAGAATGTGGCTTTGTCTCTATGTTTAAAGTTCTTCCTGTCTGACAAGCTACTGGAAAGGCTAAGCCTTTGCAAAACGAGAATACTTAGTGAATAATGTCAGTACCTGGAAACGGCCTCTGCGTGAGCAGGGTTGGTCATTTGTACATGCCTCCCTCTCCTCCTTCATCCCCTGGCTTAAGTTGCCATCTTATCAGGAAGAATAAAGAGAGAGACGCAAAGACGAGGGAAGACAATGACAATAGTAAAATGAAATGAGAACATACAGAAAACAGTGTATTGGGTATTAAAAAAACAAAATCAAATAAGCACACGAACAAACAGACAATACAAACACACAAGAGACACCACAGACACAGAGAGCTGGCATTAATAACTCAAGCACACAAGAGATCTTTGACTAACAAGCATCCATGCATGTTCACATGGTAAGATTAGAGTCAGCATGGCAAATTACACCATCACTGGCAGTCGGTGGACATGAATGAGAATATGATTATCTCAAACGTCATGCTGAGTGGATGGGGAATGGGTGTGGGGAAGGGTGGCAGGGAGCAGTTTTAACAAACAGTAAAACCAGTTCATGAAAGAACAATCTCTGCAGTACAACTTCTAAAACATGAGAGAATAATAAACACAAGTAATATGCCCCCATCCATCCACACTCACACGATTGCATTCATCTGTCAGATTCTAATATCACTGCCTAGAGAGCAACAGTGATACCAGTCAGCATGTGTGAATTATCTACATCTACTGTGTGTTCAGAGTGTGTATACAGAAACATTCCAGGGACTATTTCTAGTTGATGATGGTCTTAATGTGCTTTTCATGATACACAAAACACATACTGTATACACTGATAAAAACTATTGCTCTGTTGTTTTGGACTGAAGCTACAATATATTACATTTAGGGTATGTTAAGAATGGCATACTACCGTATTACTCATACTAAATAAGCATTTATTTGACCAAAAATACAGTAAAATCATGAAATATTATTACAATGTATCTATTTCAATGTATTTTGAAATATAATTTATTCCGGTGATGGTAAAGCTGAATTTTCAGCAGTCATTACTCCAGTCTTCAGTGTCACATGATCCTACAGAAATCATTCCGTTTTCTACTATGCTGTTTTAACGTTCAAGAAACATTTATTTTTATTATTAAGAAAATATTAAAATTATATATAAAATAAATAACATAACATTCTTTCTATTTCATTATATTCACTATATTTGTAAAACATTTTTTTTAGGATTCGTTGATGAACAGCATTTCTTTGAAACTTTTGATCAATTTAATGTATTGTATGCATTAATTCCTTGCTGGAAAAAAGTATTAATTTCTTTTTAAAAAGTCTTACTGACCCCACACTTTAGAAGGGTAGAGCAACATGTAACAATTGTGACAAGTTTTAAAATTTATCAGTGCATACTGTGTACCGTTTCACACTGCAAGGACAGCAGTATGCTAGTACTCCATTCCAAACATACCCATGGACATGCAAAAAATCTAGAAAATAAAACCTTTCAAAAATCTACCCAGGAAGGAAAGAACAGGATATAATCTAAAGCAGTGGTTCTCAATTCCAGTCCTCACGTACCACCGCTCTGCACATTTTGTATGTATCTCTCATCACTTCAGACATTTGTTCTGTTCGACCGTAAGTGCCCTGCGAAGTGGACATCACAGGATATTCTACCATGATTCCAGTTCGAAGGGAGTGTATATGTTAGATTCAAAGGGCATTAAAGTGCGTGAGAAGTTAATTTCAATTGTATTTATTTATAGAGGTATATTATGTCACACTTCTCCAGTAAGTTTTGTCTGTGTGAAGACGCTGCGGGCCGTGGCGTAGCGCAAATCCATGAATGAATCTTCTAAATTGAAGTAAACTTCAATGGATTTGGTATGTGAGGACTGGAATTGAGAACCACTGATCTAAAGCTCTGGGAGAAATAAAAACCTTCATCTGAAAAATAAAATGACTTACTTGCTAAAGCATCAGTGTTAATGGTACATAAAATGTAAATTCTAAAATGTCATCTGGCCAGATTAATTTCTTTATATTAAAAAGAACAGCTGTTATTTTTGCATTAGAATGGACAGAAACCTACGAACAATATGTATTGGCATGGCATCTAGTTTCATGCCTCTTCATTTACTAAACAAATAACCAGGGGTGCACAAATAACAAATAACCAGGGGGCAGTTTTTCAGCCTGGTTCTCATAAGAGAACCTGGAGATTTGGTTTGGTCCTCATACTGCACATAGTGTGACCCATTAAACATAACTATAAAAAAGAAATTAATAATAGTGATAATATTATTGCACTTCATTTCGTTAGTTTTTTTAAATTAAATAAACAAAATAATAAAGTGTAATAAAACTATTATATTTTAAAATAAAAAGGGAGTATTAAATACAAATACAATTATTTTATAGTAAACTTAAAAATAAAATTATAATATAATAACTTATAATATAATTTTCATAATTTTCAACTTTAAATTAGTAGGCTTTTATTTTGGCTGGTTGCCGGCAAGTAAGTATATGCGCTTCCGGGTTTAGCGCTGCCGACTGAAGAGCATCAGTGAATGAAATGTCACAGTTTTGCATTGTGCTTTGAAAACGGCAGCGGGTAGCCTTGATTTATGCTTTTGAATAGAAATCTTATACAGTACAGTTTATCGATCTAAAATGGCAATTTTGCATTAACAGCTGTCAACCATGTCGGTACGCAAATGCACTGTCAGAACTTATTTACACAGCGCATTTTTTATTTTGGTCGCGCATGCACACCTGCGGACCACTTATGTGCACCCCTGCAAATAACAAATGAACAGGTGCAAACTTCAGACTCTGGCCCATGTCGCTTGTAAACAAGTGTGTTATTTTGCGATTGCAGGTGCTCTGGTTGAGTGAGCCAGGGTGCAGGAAGGTGAGGGGCGCAGGCACTGCAATACAGCACGCATACGGTGGGACTGGAGACTCGGATACAGGTGCGATGCACAAGGGTCATCCCTCTTAGATTCTCTCCCCTTTCTACACTCCTCTGTTCTTACCCGTGTAACCCATGCAGACAAAACGAAAAGGAGGCTACAACACAAACGTTAATGTACAGCAGAGCAATTCAGTTAAAACAAAAACTAAAGCAAGAAAAATGTATGGCTAGGTGATGTAATGATTTCAGTACAGACTAAACACAGCAACAACCATGTCTCCACGGAAGAACTATTAGGATTAATAATTAATTATTGATTCTAACAGTGTTTTTACAAATTAAGAAATCCCTATCTAGCAAGGTAAGAGTCAGCTACATTCATTTGGCTACATTATGTTTAACTAAACATTTGTTTTAGGTCAGTGCCCACCCACACCCCTCACTCGCTCTCTCTTGCGCGCTTCCTGCAGACACTACCTTGCTGGACTCTGGGCTTCTTGAACAAGCTGGCGGAGTGGCGCAGTTTGCATGCCCAGCTTTTGAATTTTCGAGTCCAGGATTTCTTGCTAACAGGATTTCTGATACTAGGACATGTCAGGTTTAGGCCAAAATATCCACCTCCTTCATAGTGCTGCTGCTGTCCAGGCCACAGGGGGACAGGCGGCTGAGAAGAGGAAGGCAACAGAACATCTCCAGGGGTGGAGCTTTCAGTGAGGGAAGGGGGAGCCTGGACACCACATGTGAACAAGAGGAGGGAAACAAATTTAAGAAGTGTGGAGAAATGGCTGAAACATATCTTAAATAAATTACACCATAATTTTAGAAACAGTTATACCATTTTCAATAAAAATTTAAATTGAATGACTCAAAACAAGTCATGTGATGTAACCAAGTAAAATTTACCAGCATATTTTCACTGAAAACATGTGAGTGCATACGTTTTAATTCACAAAAAAGTTTTTACATTTATTTTAAAAGGAATTTATATAATCATGAATAAAATAATAGTAAGTTTTAGGGGAGTCACACCACAATCACATTTTACAACCTGAACTAACCTAGTCTTTGTCTTTTCATAAAAAGACCTTAATGAACTGACACAGAGTCAAGTCTGCAGGGGTCCTCTCTATGATATCATTTCCTGTTTTATGTGCTTTTCCTGGCATGTTTCTTCATGTTAGTTGTACTAGATTATTTTAACTAATTTGAAAAAAGTTTTTGGAGTCAGCAATGAGTTTTGTAGAGTCTCCTCTGGGGGAGTTTTTGTAGAGTTTTTTTTTTAAATATCAATAAGCAGTTGTTTATTTTTTTTATAGTAAATAGTAATAACATTTGTTAACTACAAACTTCATTATTTTAATGAGCTGTTTTTTTTGTATTACCCTGACATTTTCTACTTTATCCTCCTGCCCAAAAAGAAAAACGAAATGAATTTTAATACAGAGATAAAAAAAAACATGTTCACGATAGAAGAGGTGTATTCATCATTTGTATGTATGAACTGCATTTTTATTGATTTTTGAATAAAATAGCATCATGTCATTTATCTGTTTTTAGTGAGATAAACACACCCTACTTACACTTATAAATGATTCACTGGGTACTTTCGGGGATCCAGGCTCCTGTGGAGGGGAAACGAGAGAGCATGGAGGGGATGTAGAGGAGAAGGACGAGGCAGGCTGGCGTTGCACAGCAGATGGGATCGTCTCCTCCTCACCTGCTCTCTCCCGCTCTCCATCCGGAGAGGTGGAGGAAGAGCGAGGGGTGGTGGAAGATGTGGAGTGAGGGGAGGTGTCTGAAGAAGTTGCAGGAGGAGCGGAGAATGTGTTGGGGTGCTCTGAAAACTCGTCAACTGCGGTGGAGGCCGCAGCAGATCCCGAGGTGGAGCTGGGGGCAGGAGCAGAGCCGCTGGTGGAGCCACTTCCGAGTGCTGCCCCACTACCACTGTGTTCCTGATACAGAAGAGTCCTCAGCTTCTCATCCAATGTCTTGATCCGGTTGTCCACAAACTCAATTTTGGGTGGGCCTTCACTGTCTGACTCTGCTACCGAGGAGGGCTGGGCTGGAGAGGGCGTGAAAGTGTGGGAGAGGGCAGGCAGCGCCGTTTCAGAAAGCGGCAGGGGTGGGAGAGAGGTGTCCGAAGTGGGTTGGGGTGGGGCGGAGTGGCTGACGGTGTCTTCACCTGTGGACAGCTCAGACTCTGACTGCTGGATAGACGCCTGCTTCTGCACAGCCAGAGGCACTGCGGTTTGTGTCATAGGCGCCATATCATGCGGTACCTGCTGAAATAACATCTGCGTTTGCTCAGCGGGAAGCTGCTGCGGGATCACTGGTTGAAATGGAAATCGAAGCTGTTGGGGATCCTGGGTCTGGAGGCCATGCTGTAGATGCATGGTCAGTATCGCTGTGGTTTCTTGAGACACATTCTGTTCTACCTTGTGCTGTTGGATCTGCTCAGCAGTGGCTGTTTGAAGGCTGTGTTGCTGCAAGAAAGCGGTCGCCGGCTGTTGAGATTCAATTGGTACTTGTTGGTGAGGAACCTGTTGAACTTGGGCAGCTGGCATTGGCATTGACTGTGATAGTGTTTTTGACTCGTTAGGCTGGAGTATTGGTGACTGTGGAGCGACCTGGCACACTGGCTGTTTCTGAGCTTGTTCAGTGGTGGCCATTGCTGACTGTAGTGCCTGGGTTTGTTGAAGTACATCTGGTGTCTGAAAGGGTGCCATTTGGGTTTGTGGTAGAAGTTGCGGTGAAGGATCAGCATGGGTCACTAGCGACGCTGAAGGAGTCCCATAAATAGATAAGGTAGAGAGGGGCTGTTCACCCTCACCTTTAACTGCAGTATTTCCTTGGTCCACGCTGGAGCCAATGAGGGCCGCGACTGCAGGGAAAGGAGCAGCAGAGGTCCTGGAGGCCATGACAGGGATTGGGCCTGCAGTCAGGGTAGCGGAGGAGAGTTGCTCTACTGTTGGCAAGGCAGCAGGTGTTACATCTTTTTGGGCAGCAATGGCCGAAGCTGACATGGATGCAGGAGCTGATACAGTAGAGACTGGAGGAGAGGATGCAGACAGTGAAGAACTTGGGGAAGTTGCTATGCCAGCAAAAGACTCTGAGCGCTGATGGCTCTCATGATCTGATAATACATTAGACAGAGAGTAGAATATTCAATAGTTGTCAACATAATAATCATTATTCGTAATAATAGTCATCACTATATCTCTATTTTAATTGAAAGCTAACAGTAGGAATGTTCTCAATCCATTCTAGTTTGGATTACGTAGGTCATTTCAATTTCAAATTTCACTCCAGGCCAAAAGTAATGTATCACAGTGAATTCTCTACCTTTCTCTGTTTCTGTGGACTTGGGAACTCGGGTCTCTCCCACTGGAGGGGGAGTGGAAGCTCCCTGGTTGGAGTGAGAGTCACGATGGCGAATGGTTTGGTTAATGAAGAATCGCCAGCGACCCACTGGGGAAGACTGAGGGGCTGAATCCACTTCGGCAAATGGGAGAATAGCACAGAATTAGTTATTTTACTACTACCTGTAATAACAGTGTAAAATTAACAAGTCTTGGTTGCTATACATTTTTATTTGAATCAAGATAAAAAGATACAGATGTTACAAAGTCAATGCAACTTTAACCCTTAACTTTATTCTTCTGCTTTATTTGTGAGAAGATCAGATTGTTAAACTCACTTGTAGCACTGGATGGGGTGCTCACTTGGAGTTGCTCGAAGGACCCAGTCTGAGACAAATAAAAATTGTAATTATAAATAAACCAAACATACACTAGTTTTTTTTTTTTTTTAAGTAATTAATACTTTTATTCAGCAAAGACACATTAAATTGATCAGACTTTACAAAATTATATTTTAAATAAATAAGTTATTTTGAACGTTCTATTCATCAAAGTACATAAAAAAACAAACAAACAAAAAACAATACTTTGTATCTTTCATAAAGTAAAAAAAAATCACCAGAACTACATAAAAGAATAGTTTATCCAAAAATGACAATTTCCAACAACAATACAGTTGTGAATGACAGACCTGTGAGTGAGTGCTTAGTATTCCTTGAGCTTTCTTCACTATAGCTCTCAGCTCCTCAACAAATTTCTCTTTCTCAGGCTCAAGGACAAAATCCTCCTCCACCTACACAAAACACATTGTTAAGAAATTAACTAGTGTAGACTAACTTCTAAAGCAAAAATTATCTTAATACGTTTCTCAAAAAGCAAATGAACCGTTCTAGCTGCTGAACATATTTCACCATATAATCTGCAATGTCCTCAGGTGCATCTCCTTCAATGTCAAACTTGAATGTGACCATCTTGTTGCTGTGAGTCTCCAGCTGACACTCTACCATGTTGTCCCCTGTGCCTGAGACCTACAACACAGAGTAGGTGTTCATAATAGGATTCAGTTTATATTGAAATAAAAAGTGAAGTGCAGAAAATATGAATATAGTGATTTACATACCTGCAACATGCTCAGCTGAAAATGAGTTTTTTCAGCTTTTTGACAGGATGATCTCCTCTGAGATTTTACCTTATCTTGTTTTCCACTGGCCCACAGCGATTGGGTCTCATCTCCATTGGCAGGAGCAGAGCTGGATTTATAAAAGATTTAAAACCAATTCACAGAGCATGTTGTTAAATGTATTACAAAATTCAAATAAGAATACACACAACTGCTTACCCTGATGAAGAACCCCTATTGGCAGACTGATTTAGGTTCTCCTGTTAAGCCAGAGGAAAGACAAACAAACAAATACACAAGAACAACCACATACCAACAGAAAAACAAAAGACAAAATATCAGTTATGTAATGAGACATACAAATAATAAAATAACATAAAAAATTCCATAAGAACAATGGCAGAGTATGTGTAAACCAAAAACAAAACTTACGATTAAATTGTAAGTTTGATTTTTGCAAGTTTAACTTTGGTTTTGCAGGTGTTAAGAAGTGTTAAAGTTGTGGGTCTTGCATCTCAAGTTAGAGTTAGAAGAGATCGATGTTTGTTTGCCTACTACCCTTATTAACATGTTCTGCTGAATCCTCACATTCACTTAAATGGGTCACTTTTATATATTGCCATATTCACTGGTCAAAGATGTTCATTGCTATCGTGCAACACTGTATATCTGAAACTGATTTAATGTGCTTTTGTACCTGAGCAATGCCCAGCAATGCAGCGTCACTTTCTGCCAGCGAGGTGGTGGGCAACACAGATCCATTAGAGTCATGGGACTGTGAAGCACTGACAGTAGGAGGGGAAGCAGGGATCATGTCAGCAGGCCTTGCCTGGGTTAGCTGTGCCTCCACTGTGACAGGAATTTCTGAAACTGGGACAGCTGGTTGTAGGGCTGGGAGTGTGGCAGAGGGCTGTAGGGAAGCATGAGATGGACTTGGGGGGATCTGTGACAGCATAAAGGTAGGAGGCTGCTCGAAACTCCCAGTAGCCTCTATGTGGGACTGCATGCTAGTCTGCGTGTGCGTTTGAGCAGGAAGGGTTGGTTTCTGCTGGTTCTGTGGGGAGGGTGGTGGACCCGAGACCACCTGACTGTACAGAGGTACTGTTCTAGCTTGGGTCTGAGGTACCTGACTGGGTGCAATGTGAATCGGGAGCATATGTTGGATTACAGGTTGAGGCTGACTAGGTTGTTGGCGGAGATCTTGTGGTAGGACAGCATTCAGTGGCAGAAGCTGCTGCACAAGTTGGGCCTGATGCTGATGGTGGAGGGGTTGCTGTTGCTGCACATGGTGGGCTTGAGGCAGCTGTGGCTCATACTGTTGGGTAGCCTGAGGTTGCACTGGAGGCATGGGCTGCAAGACTGTCTGCATTGAGGCCACACTGACTGGTTGTTGCTGAGCTTGGATAACTGGTGGAGCCTGGGCCTGCATTTGAGATTGGTTTGTCTGTTGTAAATAGCACTGTGCTGATGAAGTGGCCATTGGGTTGATGGTAGGTGCAAGTGACACAGGAGACAGTACTGCTTGCTGATATTGCTGTTGTTGTTGTTGTTTCACAGATTGTGTGAGGTCTAGCTGAACAGACTGGATGGTTTGCGAAGCAACAGGTGCTTGAGCATATTGTGTCGGTAGAAGTGTAGAAGCAGCCGGCGCTGTAGCATGCACAAGAGGTGCAGGAGTAGTTGACCCTACTGCAACTTGACACTGGAGAGAAGCTGCAACTTGAGGTGGTACAAACTGAGATTGGGATGGAAGGGTTTGCTGCCCTTGTGAGACCATTTGTGTTGGAGTCGGGACAAAAGAATGAATGGGTTGTGGTGTAGGAACCTGTGTTGGAGATGTGATTTGTTGGGTTGGTTGTGGAACTTGCAGCTGGCCTGCTTGAATATGGCCTCCCATTGACTGTGGTGCAGGATGACTTTGAGTCTGCAAGGGAATCTGACCATAAATCGCAGGCTCCCCTTGACTTTGGATCTGAACTTGCGCTGAAGGTTGAGCTGACATCTGTGGTGGTACCTGTTGCTTGATGAGTACTGGGGCTGGTACTTGACTAGGTATTTGAGTGCTAACCATTTTTGGTACTGCTTGAACCAGGGTTGGAACCTGTAACTCTACCAGAGATGGTCTGTGCGATGCCTGGGGGAGGACAGCTTGTTGCTGCTGAATCAAGACATGTTGCTGTTCAGTTTGTTGTTGAGCAAGATGGGGCTGAGGTTGTGGGGGCATCATTTGTTGAGAGTGCTGCATTTGGCTAATCTGCTGGACCGTCTCCGGAGGCTTTGCTTGCTGTTGCCTGCTGTGATCTGCCAGAGTAGCATGTTGCTCCAAATGTTGTTGCTGCAATAAAACTTGTTGCAGTTGTTTTTCGGCTTGTTGTCGCTGTAATTCGATCTGGTGTTGTTGCATCAGAAGATGTTGCTGCATCTGTGACTCTCTTTGTTGAAGCAATGTCTGTTGTTGCTGCTCGGTCTGTTGTTCAAATATCTGCTGTTGCAGTTGTTGATCTGTCGGCTTGTGTAGTTGCGGCTGTTGCTGGAGAACATGTTGCTCTATCGGTTGAGACTGCTGCTGCTGGCGTAATAAGGTTTGTTGCTGTTCGATTTGTTGTTGCTGTTGCAGCTGTAGCAGTACTTTTTGCTCTAACTGTTGCTGCTGCTGAATGAGTGCTTGTTGCTGCTGCTGTTGTAAAAGAGCTTGCTGTTGCTCCAACTGTTGTTGTTGCTGCTGTTTAAACAAAGCCTGCTGTTGCTGTTCTAACTGTTGCTGATGTAAAATAGCTTGTTGCTGCTTTAACTGGAGTTGCTGCTGTTGTTGTAGCAAAGCTTGCTGTTCCAATTGTTGTTGCTGCAGAAGAGCCTGTTGTTGTTCACGCTGCTGCTGCTGCAATATTGCTTGTTGTTGCTCCAGTTGCTGTTGCTGAAACAAAGCCTGTTGCTGTTGTCTTTGCTGTTCCACCTGTTGCTGTAAAATGGCCTTTTGCTGCTGTTCTATTTGCTTTTGTTGCTGTAAAGCTTGCTGCTGTTGCTCGATCTGTTGCTGTACCGCCAAGTTTTGTTGTTGCTGCAGAAGAATTTGTTTCTGTTCGACTTGTTGCTGCTGTGGGGGCTGAATATAAACTTGCTGTTGATGTTGTTTCTCCATTTGATTTTGCAAAACAGCCTTCTGTTGCTGCTCCATTTGTTGCCTAATCAGAAGTTGCTGTTGTTGTTGCTCCGTCAATTGCAATGGCTGCTGGATTGTTTGAAGTACTGGCGGCTGTTGTACAAAGGTCTTTACCATGTTCTGCTCTTGTGATTCAGCCATTTGGTGCAAATAAACTTGCTGTGCCTGCTGTTGCGGAGTCTGATGTTGATATTGTTCCACTGGGGGTTGTTGTATTGATGCCTGATGCTGCTGAACTTGCTGCTGTATCACAACTTGCTGTTGGGGTTTGCTTGCAGTTTGCTGTATGTACACCTGCAGTTGTAGATCACTTTGCTGTGGGTTGGTCATTGTTTGCTGTTTCTGCTGTGGCAATGGGATATATGGCTGCTGAGATGCACTGGAATGTGGTGGCTGTTCCTGCAGAACCACCTGGGGTTGTTCTACACGCTGTGGCTGTTGTAACAAAACCGCCATTTGTTGAACATGATCTGTTTGCTGTGGCAACAATACTGTCTGGTGCTGAATGTTCAGTTGCAACGTTCTGGGCAATTCTGACATCACCTGCTGTTGCGTCTGAACAATAGTTTGCTGGGGCAAAACATCAATGGGTTGTACAGGGGTAATAGTAGTTTGGGTCTGCATAGGTGATATGATGTTGCCTGCTGATGCTATGGGTTCTCCAGCCGGGATGGAGGATGTGAGGACAGTCATGGGTGCCTGGGGTGATACTGGGGGGATGTATGACTGTGACTGTACAACAGAACTGTGGGGAGTGGAGGCGTCAGTGGGTCTGGAGTGTAACATTTGCGAGGATGTAACATCTGTTGAGTATTGTGGAAGGGGCTGGTGGGGAAAACATATTGGTATATTATTTGGGAAGGTTGGATAGGCCAGAGCATGATGTGGGGAAGCAAGTAGTGGTGGGAGGGACAAAAAGAGAGAGCAAGAGTAAGCATTAGTGCAGTTAATTAATCATCTAAAGGAAACAAGACATTATGGAAAGCAAAAGATATGAAACAAGATTCCGCATGTGGAGTCATTAGGTTATTTCTAGACTGTGTTGAGTCTACGATCAATGCTGCTGTTTTTTGATTATATGCCTCATCAGTTAAGTAGCTGTATTCCAAAAATTAAGGCCATTAAATATGGTGTTCGTGTCAGCCCAGTCCACCACTAAAGCTTTACCCTAAAGGCCTATTCACACTGAATGCAATTTTGCTTCTCAAAAATTTTTATA